GGCTTGTGTTGGATTCTTACTGGCCCAGGTTAGCACAAGCTGTGAGAGACTGGTGTGAGTTGGTGGTGAATGGGTGAGAGTGCGTGCAAGGCCAGGGCACAGAGACCTGTGCAGTCTCCTGTTTTGGGAAAGTTTGGGAGGACTGGCAGGGACAAGTGGAAAGAAAAGATTCTTGAGGCTAAGGAGTCAGTGACTGATCGTGTCTTGTATTTTAGAGAGCAGCTGAAAATGATGGGTATCGGAGAGGACCTGACAAAGGGCAAAGTGAATCAGAGCAGCTGGCATGATAAAACAGCCCTGTCTTTGACTTCTGAGCTTGGTGACCAGCTTAGGGTTTTTCGGCCTTCGAGCACTGGCAAGCTGCTAGTGGCATGGGAAGAGCCTCATGTGCTTTTGGACCGGATAGGTAGTGTCGGGGGTACTGTCTCGATGGAAAGGTTAAGGGAAATTACCAAGGATGTTCATGTGAACAGGTAGAAACCTGATCTTGACAAGGAAGTGTTGTTGCAGAATGTGTCTGGAAAAGGAGGAACTGAAGAGCCAGGTGGAAAGTTAGTCGTTGTCTTGGCTCAGTTTTCTGAACTGGTGCAGCAGGGGAAGCTGGACTGGCTACGGATATGGTGCTTTCAAGGCAGAGAGAGAAGTTTTTCAGTTGTACATCAGTGGCAGATGGGTTTCGGAAAAAGACCAGGGGAAACAGATTTGGCTGTGCTTGGAATGAACACAGGTGTGTTGTTCAGTTTGGTGTAGTGGTTGAGTGCGTGGACTCTAATCTGGGAAAACCGCGTTTGATTCCCCACTTCCTCCACTTGCACCTGCTGGATGACCTTGGGCAAGCCACAGTCTTGTCAGAGCTGTTCTTGAAAAAGAGCAGTTTCTGTCAGAGCTCTCTCAGCCCCACCTACCTCACAGGTTGTCTGTTGTGGGGAGGGGAAAGGAAAGAAGATTGTAAGCTACTCAGTGACTCCTTCAGGTAGTGAAGGATGGGGTATACATCCATCCTCCTCCTCCTCCTAGAAGCTGCGAACTGACTTGTGGAGTGGCAGGGCAAAAGTGACAGTGGCTCAGATGGATTTCATCAGGGCTTTTTGCAGGGACTTGGGGTTACCTGTGGAGTATTTAGCAAGAGTGTGGAGTATCAACCAGGGGACAGGTTTCAGCATCAAGAAGGAAAAATGGATGTTTAGGATGCCAAGGGTGGTTTTCTGGGAATACCGAATGGAACATTCCACCATTGAGGGACAAGGTAGCAGCCACTGTGTGGGAACTGGGCCATTTCCAGCCTCAGGTGGGAGGGCCAAAAATTCCCTCTCGGGACAGACCACTCGTCTGGACGATGGCTACAACCAAAGGAGAACACTAAGCTTCAGAGGTGGTCTTGGGAGACTGAGGAGTACATCATAAAGACTGAACATTTTTTTCCTGGATGCACTGCTGAAGATGCAGACTTCCTTTCCCAGAAGGACATAGACTCGTGGTGTAGACTCAGTTCTATACGTGATTGTGTGCTGGATGACTTGCCTGTGTGTTTTCTGATGCGTACTGTGTAACTTGCAACTTTACTGTAACAGACTTGTTTGGATCCGGCCACAGGGCACCCTTCTGGAAAGGAGGGCCCCCCCTCCTCTGGAATCTAGGAAGGGGGAAGTATGGAGAAAGCCCCCCTCCCCATTCTGAGTTTTAAAGTGTTCCTGTTTGTTTGTTTTTCCCCTTCTCTCTGGAAGGGCAGGAAGCGAGATCAGTTACCTGCCATAGTGATGTAAATGGATTGACTTGCAAAGGAACTGAGGGATTTGGTGTGAGGAATCTCCAGGTGACTCCTGGAGATTTCCCAGAATGCCTGCAAGGGGGGCTCCCAGGATGCACCCAGGAGGGGTGGAGAGTGTGATGAAGAATGGGTGGAGTCAGAGCTTTAATAAAAATGCTTGCTCCCAGGAGGGAGGGTCTCTCTTTACTCTTGGTGCTGATCTTTGGGAGAGGACAGACAGCTGAGGACTGCCATGGAGCCTAGCCTGCTGGCTGCAGAGAGCCTAGGTAATGAAACATCTTTATAGCCTTTTGTAACTTTCTAAGCTTGAAATTGCCTACTCTGTTTCAACATCTAGTAGAGTAAGTTTTTCGAACCAGGGAAAGAAGGATGCGATTCTGACCAACCTTTCTTTGTCCTTCTGGTTGCTGATCTGGTGCTGTGCTAAAAGTATGCTTGTAACCTTTCTCTCTTTTGAATAAACATTTTACTTTTTGAAGCTGGTCGTGTTCTCTGGACCACATAGTCCCCCAACTGCCTTAAACCACACTACTGTAAGGGGGGAGTCCCAGGAAGAAGGGGGTAGGCAAGTAGTCAAGGCCCCCATTGCCAATCCTCCAGGGGGCCCCCAAAGAAGGAATTTGGTTCCTGTTTTAAGCAGGAGCTGGGTAGCAGGAGACCAGTGACAGAGCCTCAGTTTGAGAAGGGGTGTCAGGCAGTGTTCCCTATAAGCTGAGTTAGTGTGAGCCAGCTCACAGTTTTTTGGCCTCCAGCTCACACATTTTTGTCTTAGCACAGGAAGGAGGGCTCCAGAGCAAACTAATTTATGCAGCGGCCAGATCGCTTGATCACAACTTTAATGCCAGCAGCTCACAAAGTAGAATTTTTGCTCACAAGACTCCACAGCTTAGAGGGAACATTGGTGTCAGGAGTCTGTACCTCCAGGCAGGAAGACCCCAAAAGGACAGTGGTGGCAGCGGTACCCTAGTGGGAAGAAGTGGAATAGCATCCTCCAGGAATTGGCAGAATCCAAGGAGAACAGGGTCTGTAAGTCAGAGCAGGCCTGTTCCGCCACAGAAGCCATCAAGGAAGCCACAGCCTTCAGTCTGCAAGACCTGAGGAAGGGTATTAAGGATAGGACCTTTGGAGGTCATCAATTCATTGGGTTGTCATAAGTCGGAAGCGACTTAATGGCACTTAACACACACACATGATCTCCTTATGCTCCTGTTTCAGTCCATGGACCCCTTCTACTCACTCTTGTCCCGCGGGGTTGTTCCTGGACTCTTTCTCTACCTTGCCATCTCTTCAAAGGCACCAGGGTGGTGGTGGTTATTGGAAAGGACTTCCATTCTGGGTTTTTCCTGGGGTCTATGGCCTTCATGTTTCAGTAGTTCCCAGTTCCATCCCCCACAGGGTTGCCAGCCTCCAGGTGGGGCCTGGGGATCTCCCGCTTTTACAACTGATCTCCAGCTGACAGAGATCAGCTCCCATGGAGAAAATGGCTGCTTTGAAGGGTAGACTCTATGGCATGGCACCATGCTGAGGCCCCTCCCTTCCCCTCCTCAAACCCACCCTGTCCCGGATCCACCCCCAAAGCCTCCAGGTATTTTCCAACCCAGCACTGGCAACTACAACCCCCAACCCCCACCCCCCCACCCCAATCTACCTCCTTTCTTACTCTTGACTGCTCCCAAAAGAGCATCTCCATTTCCTGGATCCATCATGACCGGGCCAATGGATTTCTGGATCACCTGTGTTTACATTCTCTAGGCTTGCTGTCAAGAGTCATCAGGAGAAGGATGCCAATTCTGGTAGATTCCCAGCCAGTCTTCCTGTGCGTTGTTTTTTTTTAAATTACTGGTTCTGAACCTTAGTATTTGTGAGATACAGGCTTAGAGGTGCCATGCAGACTTGCCCAAAGTGCCTCACTTGTTGCTAAGATACAGTCAGGCCTGACTGATAACAAGTCAGTCCAGCAATGCAGGCATCTTGGAGGAGGCACCCTTGGCGCATTCCATTGTTATCTACACAAGCTGTGGCTTCTTGTTTTCGCTAGCACTAGGATCTCATGGGTCTGCTCTGCTGCTAATGGTGGTGCATCCTTCTGGCAATGTTCCCTCTAAGCTGCGGAGGCTTGTGAGCAAAAATTCTACTTTGTGAGCTGCCGGCATCAAAGTTGTGAGCAAGTGATTTGGCTGCTGCATAAATCAGTTTGCTCTGCAGCCCTCCTTCCTGAGCAGAGACAAAAATGTGTGAGCCGGAGGCTAAAAAACTGTGAGCTAGCTCACACTAACTCAGCTTAGAGGGAACACTGCCTTCTGGTACAAGGAGCCTTCTCCTGACACAAGAGGATCGAAGCTCCAGCCTGACGTTTTGCTGAGCTGTGCTGCACTTGTGTGTGTTTTATCATTCAGTGGCCCTATTCCATTTCCTAAGGGATGTGTGGTTTATGGGAGGGGTTATGGCTGAGTGGCAAAGCATATGTTTTGCAAACAGAAGAACCCCAGTTCTGTCCCAAGCATCTCCCTCTAGAGGATCTCAAGCAGCAGTTGCTAGTAAAAGCAGCTGAGATCCCAGAGAGCTCCACTGCCAATGAGCATAGACCAGTGGTCTTCAGCCTATGGGTCGAGTATCTCAGGTGGGTTACAGAGTCCCACCTGCTTCTCATGAACATCTGTAATACCACCATTTTTTGCTCCCTTGTGGAAGAATCTGCTGTTAGGTGGAACAAGCTGCTCTTATCCTGAAAAACATCATGCTGTATTGTCATAACTTCAGGAGGCAAATTGTGTGTTAACTTACTTCTTACTTCTTGTTATGTTACCCAGAGTCTGTTGACATGGCGGGCCAAGCTGTGATTTTGACGCAGCCACAGATGCAGCAGGTTGTGGTTGTCCAGCCACAGCGAGCCCACTGGCAGACAGGGCTATGCGACTGCTGCACTGACTGTGGAGTGTGTGAGTAGCCATGCAAATATTAGACGTTGGGATTGTTTCATGAGCTTGAAGAGAGGGCTGAATTAATGTGGGACAGAGAGCAACCCACCTGATCTTGACCTTTTCCGCACGCTTGACTTACTCCTGGTTTCCTTGGCAGTCTGTCCACAAGCATTGGAACTGGTTTGGGCGTGGTTGTTCCATGTCTTCCCTCCTTGTGCATTTTCACAATTGTGGACTCAGTTTATTTTCTTCCACACATGGCTTGAATAATTATTTTCAAGGGAGGGTGCTGTCATCCTCAGTGTTGGCATCGGTGGTGTCCCAGCACCCCCTCTTATTTTTTAAAAAAGTCCTAAAATATTGATATATCACTATAGTAATAATACGGGCAGGAAACTGCGGGGGGGGGGGAAGCGTGGCTGTTTGCCCCGGGGCAAACTAATGAACAGTTAAGCGATCAGACCTCCTCTGGAGGTTCTGTGGAGGTACCGTGGAGGTTCTGTGGGTAGGGAGAGGTGCCGATCACAGGACACGCCTGCGCGCAACGAAGAAGCGCACGGTGCGGCAAACTGGTTTTCTTTTTGTGTGTACACGACGAATGCACATGCCCCATTGGGTGCGTGTGCGCATCCACGGAGACTTGGGGGAAAAAAGCTTTTTCGCAAGGGGACATGGGCGGGTGCCGGATGCCACCGGAAACGCGATCAGACGCCCGCCCTTGCCCCACGGTTTCCGGAAACTAGTACCTCCGAGGTACTAGTTTTTAGCTGCGTGTTTTCGGCAGGAAGCCTTGGTTGTGCCACGTAAGCACTACGCTTCCCAGATGTGCCGGTGAGATCGCGCCCGGAAAATCCGCCTGTCTTCCATCTCTCTTGCGTGGCTAATGTTCCATGTGACCGCAGCCATAGTTTAAGCAGGTTCTCTAAATTCCCAGATTTCATTTTTTTAAAAGTACGTCTCTAGTCTTTCCCCTCACAGATATATAAGTGAAAAGGCATACCTCCACAAGAGATGAGGCTAGAGACTTACTTTTAAAAAATGAAAGCTGGGAATTCAGAGAACCCCCTAAGCCAGTTGTTAAAATGCTCCAGTAATATGTCGGTATTTTAGAGCCTTTCTAAATAAGGGCGGGATGCTGGGACACTGCTAATGGTGGCAGCAGCCTCCCCTGAAAAATAAACTGATTCCACAACTGTGAAAATGCACAGGGAGGGCAGACCTGTGGAACAACTGTGCCCCAACTGATTCCAGTGCATGTGGATCAACTGCCAAGAAAATCAGGAGTATGTTGAGTAAGCAGAATAGCCCACAGAAAAAATGGGGGGAAACAACAACAAACCCAAAGTGAAACCTAAAGACAAAAGATTGCTTGTGGAAATCAGGGGATAAACCAAAGTAGTATGGGGCCAGAATCGACAGGGGGGGAAACCACACTATGTGGATGGCCCAGGCTAGCCTTATACGTGAAACCTCAGAAGCTAAGTAGGAAAAGCCCTGGTTAGCACTTGGATGAGAGACCACCAAGGAAGTCCAGCATTACTATGAAGAGGAAAGCCATGGCAAATCACCTCTGCTTGCCTCTTGCCTTGAAAACCCTACTGGGTCGCCACAAGTCAGCTGCAGCTTGATAGCAAATTTTACCTCCGGACACAAGCAGTGCAGTCCTAAACAGAATTATACCCTTCCAAGCCAGTAAACTTAGGAGAGTGTTAACTGTTTAGGACTGTACTTTTAATGCTTTTGCAAAACAGATCCTTTTCATTATTTTTTAAAAAAACCTTTTATTTCTCTTCCATGGTATGTATATTTACTAAGGGAAGGGCTCATGAGTCTGGGAGCGGCAGGCTAAATATGTGCTCTTTGTTGAGGTGTCCTGCTTCATTATAAACACAATCCAGACACCAAGTCATGCTTATAAAAAGCCCTGTTTTGCTCAGGCAGGCATGTTCTCACACTCAGCCAGGGTAGAGTTTGCATCCATGCAAAAACGTGGACTGGTTGCACGTCTGATGTATGTTGATGGGCTACTGGCCACGATAAACAAGCACTTTCTCCCAGACAGGTACAACTTTTGTTGCCATGCAGACAGGTCTCTGATCTTGGGATTTCCCACAAAGTTATTGTTCACTACTGAAGACATGAAGGAAGACAGCATGGTATAGCCTGACCTCTTCAGATCTCGGAAGCTAAGAAGGGTCAGTACTTGGATGGGAAACCACCAAGGAAGACTCTGCAGAGGAAGGCACTGGCAGACCACCTCTGCTTCTCCCTTTCCTTGACAGCCCCTTGCTGGGGTTACCATAAGTCCCTCCCACTTTCTGTCTGAGAGCAGTGACGCATACTGTCTGGTTTGGGGAGCAGATGTGGTGAGTTCTTGAGCTACAGTATGAAGGAAGAAAGCACAAGAGGATTATGAGAATGTGCCGATTTTCCAAGGAAGATGCATGAAAATAAACATGAATGACCTGTTCTTGGTCTCCATGATTCTGGGTCTCACCCAATGTGGAGAAACATTCATTCTACCTGTATCTCAATGATATACGTCGGACCCAGGATACAGGAACCCCAGAACACTCATGATCCTCTTTGATGTCAGAAGTGACTCTCTCTCTCTCTCTCTTTTTGCCATCAAGTTGCAGCTGACTTACGGTAACCCCATAGGGTTTTTAAGGCAATGGACATTCGGAGGTGGTTTCACCATCACCTGCCTCCACGTCATAATACAAGAACTCGTGGGCACTCAATGAAATTGCTGAGCAGTCGGGTTAGAACAGACAAAAGGAAGTCCTTCTTCACCCAAAGAGTGATGAACACATGGAATTCACTGCCACAGGAGGTGGCGGTGGCTACAAGCATGGACGGCTTCAAGAAGAAATTGGATAAACATATGGAGCAAAGGTCCATCAGTGACTATTAGCCACAAGGTATAGATAGGAACTCTCAGTCTGGGGCAGGTGATGCTCTGTCTTCTTGGTGCTTGGGGGGGGGGTCAACAGGGGAAGGGCTCCTAGTGTTCTGGCTCCACTGCTGGACCTCCTGATGGCACCTGGTATTTTTGGCCACTGTGTGACAGAGTGTTGGACTGGACGGGCCACTGGCCTGATCCAACATTGGCTTCTCTTATGTTCTTATGTTCCTTGGTGGTCTCTCATGCAAATACTGACCAGGGCCAGCCCTGTTTAGCTTCCAAGATCTTACAAGATTGGCCTAGCTTGGGTCATCCGGGTCAGGGCACAGAACCACAAAAGCATTAGAGCTACCTCTGTGAGTTTTTTGTGCATTTGAAATATTGATGTCCCACACTCTTAACTAACAGTCCAGGAGCAAAGGTCCATCTGCTTGGGAAGTTTGTCTCTCAAGAGCAGATGCCCTTGGAAACTTACCTGAAGACCATCGTAGAGAGAAACACATCCTGAATATCGTCCCAATGTCTCATACCTGGTGGTCTACATGGACATTTGAGCTCTCTCAACAAATGACCAGTGATACAAAAACCCTCCGTGAATTTGTGAGGTCCCTTTTTAACAACCCCAAGCCCACCCATATATCTTGTGACCATGAGCTGTATAAGTACGAGAGCCAGTGTGGTGTAGCGGTTAGAGTGTTGGGCTAGGATCTGGGAGACCCAAGTTTGAATCCCCACTCTGCCAGGGAAGCTTGCCAGGTGACCTTGGGCCAGTCACATACCCTTTGCCTAACCTACCTCACAGAGTTGTCATGAAGACAAAGTGGAGGAGAGGAGTCACTTTGTGTCCCTGTTGGGGAGAAAGGTGGGGCACCACCAATGAAGTAAGATAAATAAACAGGTGAATTTGGGTAGGGCTTCTCCAAACTTAGCTAATGATGGGTGGGCAAGGAGCAAATGGACAGGAAACAGCAGGTAGATACGTTTCTGCAATGGCAGGAAGTAAGCGGTGGCACCTCCAGCAATCTACACTAGAATTTGGCGTCCTAAACAGAGTTACACGCTTCTAAGTCAACGGAAGGCAATGGGTTAGAAGGGGCTACCTCTTTCTGGGATTGACAAAGTGTGTTGATTATGTTGGCAGAGATTAAATGTGCAAGGAAGTGGAGCACCAACTGCTTAAAGAAAAATAAGTAGGTTCATTTAAGGAACCTTGCATATTCTAACAGATTACAGTCGGGCCAGATTTTGCTTTGTATCAACCCTGCTTTCTACCAAGTGACTTGCTACAGATGTTTCTCGTGCTCTCCTCCAACTAGGCTGCTGTGGATTCTTTTGCACCCCTTGTCTGGGATGCCAGGTTGCTTCTGACATGAATGAATGCTGCTGCTGTGGCCCAACCGTGGCAATGAGGGCTGTCTACAGGACCAAATATCAGATCCCCGTACGTATATGATCGGACCTTTGTTGCTACTTGAATCTTGTGTAATACATCTTAAGTTCTACCTATTAATCCTCCACTTTGGGCATATCTGTACTGTGTACTTACATTGGTTTTATTGCAGTGTCTCTTGTGGTTGTTCTCACAGAATTCTGGGAATTATGATTTGAGGATGCTGGGGATTAACTTAGATACACCTGTCTACCTTGGGGCAAATAAGTCCTGCAGGTTTATTTTGTACAGGTGTGCCTCCTCTGCCTTGCCCTGAATGGTCTAGGCTAGCGCGATCTCATCAGGGCCCTTCAGCATTCTCCCTTTCCTTGCTGGTGAGTTCCTGTCGCTTCGGGGTTTTCTTTTCTTTTCTGCATGTGCTCCTCTAGTGTCCGATCCTATATTACATCACTGTATGTCCAGCATTAAAAAACTGCAGTTTAAATCTGCAGAGAGATATGCTGGACATACAGCGAGGTAACATTGAATCGACCACCGGAGGGGGCAAAACACATGCAGAAAAGGATGAAACAACGACGAAGCAATAAGGGCACACAAGGGAAAAGACAGGAATGCAGAAGAGTCATAGATCTCAAAAGCTAAGCAGGGTTAGCCCTGGTTAGTATTTGGATGGGAAGCCACCAAGGACGTGCAGGGCTGCTGTGTAGAGGCAGGCAATGGCAAGCCACTTCTGTTCGTCTCTTCCCTTGAAAACCCTACGGGGTCTTTTTAAATGAGCTGCAACGTGACAGCAATTTCCATCAGCATGAGTCACAGGGGGAGGGGAAGCAACTGAATGACCTTTGCCTAAAAAGAGGTCTTAAATGCATCTTAAAATGTTGGGCAAACATCATAGTAACAAAAGAGGAACTGGGTTCTTTAATGTACGGTACAGTTCAACTTAATTTTACATATAACAAAAGGCAAATCTTTGAAGAAATAAATCGATATGTTACAAGAAGGAAGATTTAAATCCATTTTTGTGACTTAAAATGCAAATAACGTTTCTCTTGGATAATAACATTAGGACAAGCCAGATTTTCCAAACTTCTGTCTGTACCCTGGAGATCAGTTATAATTCCAGGAGAACTCCAGGCCAGTGTTCCCTCTAAGCTGAGTTAGTGTGAGCTAGCTCACAGTTTTTTAGCCTCCAGCTCACACATTTTTGTCTTAGCTCAGGAAGGATGGCTCCAGAGCAAACCAATTTATACAGTGGCCAAATTACTTGCTCACAACTTTAATGCCAGTAGCTCACAAAGTAGAATTTTTGCTCACAAGACTCCACAGCTTAGAGGGAACATTGCTCCAGGCCCCACCTGGAGGTTGGCAACCACTGCCTATTTTATTATTGTGGTCTGTCTGGGTAACCTGAGACTGGGTGGGTCAGGAAGACTATGCTGGTTTTATTCTTTCTTGGCAGGAAGGTATCACAAAGTCATGACTGGGGACTTCTGCTCAGCCTTGCAGCCAATCGCTTATAGGATAACCACAGGGTCGAATCTTGTCCCCAGTTCTTTTCTATATCTATGCGAAACCACTTGGGGAGATCACCGAGAGATCTGAGCACTGGTGTCATCACTCTGCAGATGACACATCCACCATTCTGTCTCTTCTTTCCATCAAAATTCAGTGGAGGCTGTGGAAGTATTAAATGGAAACTTAGACAAGATGAAAGCGCTATGGATGATGTGTGAATGGGGGCTCTCCAATAGTGGACAGGGTTGCACTCGCTGTGAAAGATCAGGTGTGCAGCTTTGGAGTACTTCTAGACTCAACATTGTCTTTAGACAGTCAAGTGTCAGAAGTTGCCCAGAACATGTTTTATGAACTGAGGCTAGTTGATCAGTGGCCACAATCTTATGTGCCAGGGTAACATCCAGACTTGACTACAGCCCTATATTCTTTGAGGCACTGCCCTTGAAGATATTTTTTGGAAATTTCAGTTGGTCCAAAATGCAGCTGCTAGGATCCTTACAGGCACCCACCGGTGAGGCCATTTTAAGCCAGTGTTATGCCATCTACACTGGCTTCCATTCTATTCCCGGGCTCAATACAAGATGCTAGTTTTGAATGTCTTAGATCCAGAAGGACTGTGTCCATCCATATCAACCATATGAGACTTTATGTAAAGTGAGAAAGCCTTCCTTTTATAACCAGCCTTAGCAGAAATGAGCTTTCTTAGCTGTTGCTGCCCTCCACCCCAAATTTAGAATTCCTTCCCTCCTGATAGGTTTGAAAATCTGAACGTACATGAACACACATGAATCTGCCTTATATGGAATCAGACCCTTGGTCCATCAAATTCTGCATCATCTACTCAGATTGTCAGCAATTCTCCAGGGTCTCATGTGGAGGTCTTTCTAGTCACCTACTGGCTGGTCTTTTTAACTGGAGATGTTGGAGATTGAACCAGAGACCTTCTGCACACAAAACAGAGGCTCTTTTACTGACCACAGCTCCCTCTGGTGGTTGATTCGATAGTCCTGCAGTTTAAATATGCAGGGAGAGATGCTGCATATAAACCAATGTAATATCGAATTGACCACTAGAGGGAGCAAGACATGTGCAGAACAGAAACCCCCCCCCCCACCGCCAAAGTAACAGGAACACACATGCAAGGAAAATGAGAATGCAGAAAAACACAGTGGCAGCTATTGAGGGTGAAATCTATGGCATTCGCTCTCGAGGCCAGTGATACATAAACAAGCCATTGGGGCTTCATTGCACAAGTTCACGCACCGTGTGTTCTTACCCCTTAAGTCTCCTCATGCCTTTTTGATCTGTTCAGTCTTTACATTACCCCTCCCACAAAACAACATGAATGTTAAATGTTTTTTTCCCCTCTTTCACAGGGATCCATCTGTGATGATTTCTGCACCATCCTGTGTTGTCCTGTTTTATCCCTTTGCCAGATAAAGAGGGATATCAACAGGAGGCGAGAATTAGGAATCTTCTAGGCAGGTTTGTGGGTTTTCTTTGTGGGCTGAAGGTTAACTAGTGACACGGTATGATTCAAAGTGGTATAGAATCACATTAGGACAGGTTCCCCAACGTCTGGAGTGTCTTTTTATTATTGTGAGCCATTCTAGCAAATTTTCATGTTGACGTTTGCTTGGCATCTTACTTTTGTGTACGTTTAAAGAAAAAACAGATGGAAAATGGCTCTGAGAAGGAAGGAGCATGACAGATTCAGGACAGATTCAAGAACCAGCCAATAAGCACTGTGATCAGCCCCTTGGGTGCTGGCAGTTTCAATATGTGCTTGTGTGAAGAAGCTTATAATGGCTAGATTCACCAGCAGATACAAGGGTGTGCCACCCCCATTTCCATCCCACTTCACCTGAGAGCCCAGCCCTGTGTCAGCCACTGCCAGGAGATTTTGAGTGTGCTGCCTGGAAGAGGTGGAGTTTCAGAAAGAAGTGACATCACTTCCAGGTGACATTCGAGGAATTTTGCCTAATCTCTATGGTAAAGACCAGAGAAATTAGGGGAAATTCCTAGAGTGTCACCATCACCTCCATTGCCCTCCGTATCTTCTCCTACTTCTCAAATGATCAAGGGCAGGGGGCAGAAGATGGCAGAGAACTGCCTTTTGCCAGTGAACAAACAGCAAACCTAGCTCCATCTCTTCTAAAAGTCTACCTTCTACTTCATTCTTCTCCTATTTGGAGCTGTACTGATGCTTATAACGGCTGCTGAAGACACATCCTAAAGCAAATGCTCTGACAAAGCAGTTGGCTATCTCCTACAGCCTGACCAGTGACCGATAAATGAAAAACTGAGCAGGCTTTTTAGCTTTTTTTGAATCTTTTTACTCTTCCCTTTCCACCTCTATTAACTGAATGGCAAGACCATGAGATAAAGTCAGGCAGAGCCTCACTACACATGGCTCACGTAAGTAGGTCGCAAAAGCCAAGTAGATGGGCTTTTCTAAAGAAAAGGAGCGTTGGAGAAGGAGCTACTTGAAGCACAGACGAGGGGTACGTAAAGGTATTTGCTTTGCTTCCCACCATTTGCTAGCTGCAACGTCTTCTACCCTGGCTGCTTTCCTTCTCACTCAGTTTACAAACAGGCCCCTGGAACACCACAGGGAGAAAGACAAGTATTAAAGCTTCTACCTCCACCAACCCCCACAGACACTAAAGGGCCACCAGAGCTGCTTTTATAACACAGGTTATCAGATATATTAGGCTCTCCAACGTGGTGCCCAGGGGCACCATGGCATCTGCTGACATCTTCTCTGATGCCCACCAAGTATTTTTAGAAAGTGGATGGGACTGGGTGGCACTTTTGCCCAGCAGGGCTTCTGATTGGCCATTATAGATTTGATTGTCTGTGCGGTTTTTTTTTTTACATGTTGCTTTGGCAGCAACTGCCACCAAAGCACAAAGATCTTCATTGTGTGACTGAAGGTAAGCTGTGTGGCAGCCATTTTGTGGCTGGCTCCACCTTCTCCAGCAACCATTTTGTAGCAGCTATTTTGTTGTTGCACTCATCTGCCTGTGTCAGAATTCCAAAGGTGCCCACATGTCGGGAAACGGTTAGGGACCCCTGATAGATATATATTCCCTACAAGGTCTTGTTTATCCCCAACTTGTATTTAAATTTATATTTTGTCACTGTCTACAGGGGCCTCTCACAGGTATAAATAGAACCATGAGAAAGGAAATTGTCCAACCGATTTAGCAGCTTGTGGGCAGTGTTACAATCAAATGTTGGTTTCCCTCTCTTTCAGATTTGCGTTTGTTCCCATTTCTGAATGCTGCCACCTGGTGATGCTGTTTGAGCATTCTGTATCTCACTTTACATCTGGCTAATGTGCGGTCTGAGCCACAAGACCTTCAAGTGGAATAGATTTAAAGTACCACTGGACTCCTATTTCATTTTGCTGTTACGGACTCAAACGGCGAACCATCTGGAATGATTGTGTTTCTAGCTAGTAAACCTGAAACTTTATTATTATAAAATGTCTGTTTTCAATGTAGTATTGCTTTTCAATTTTACTGGACTTAAAGATCTCCCATTGTTTCCCTGTCTCTTAGGAGTTTCTGATAGCATCTAACTGATCCAGTGTGTTTGTATTTTTTTTTTTGCTCTAAATTAGCCATTTCTTTTATTAGATCTTGCTTTTGGAGTTTCTTTCTTTTTTAACATACAAAGCTAGAATAATTTAGACAGCCTCGCAGAACTGATTTGAAGGCATCCCACCAAGAGATTGCTGGCATGTTTTCTTTAAAATAGCTTTCATAAATTTCCTCATTATTCAGGAACAAGCCATTTAATCTCCATGGATGTGCTTGCTTATGCGTCTTATGCAACATGAAAGTGCACGTAAGACCATACGCTCAAACCAACATACGCTGCACGTATGCTTCAAATGTGGTGTAATTTCAAGTCTATTCCAGAGCAAGCCTAGTGCACATTTAAATAAAAGGCATCATCTTTAGGATATGGACTCTTCCAAACCTCTACTAATTCCAGTTCAGGTGTCAGCCTAGGACCCGGGAGACCCAAATTCAAACACATACTCTGCTATGGAAGCTTACGGAGTAACCTTGGGTTAGTCACTCACTGTCATCTTAACCTACCTCACAGGGTTGTTGTGAGGATAACACAGAGGAGAAAAGAACTGGGTATACTGAACTGAGCTCCTTGGAGGAAGATCGGGATAAAAATGTACTTCTTTACTTACTAAATAAATCAATAATTTAAAAAAATATATTAATGTGGTGATTCTACGTTGGTATTTTAGTCTCGTTTCAACTTGTACAGGGTTTCTGAGGTTCCCACTTGTCACGTTCTCACCAGGGGTTGTTTCGTAGAAAAAGAGCTGGGGGAACTCATTAGCATAACTCATTAGCATATGCCATACCCCCTGACATCACCGGAAGTGGGTCATAAGGCCACACCCCCTGACATCACCGGAAGTGGGTCATAAGGCCACACCCCCTGACATCACCGGAAGTGGGTCATAAGGCCACACCCCCTGACATCACCGGAAGTGGGTCATAAGGCCACACCCCCTGACATCACCGGAAGTGGGTCATAAGGCCACACCCACCACTCAGTCTTAGTCTTAAAGGTTAGTCTTAAAGGTGCTATTTGAACTCTTGGACTATTTTGCAGCAACAGACTAACACAGGTACCTCGAGGAAGCTCCTGGATGGGGCTGGGAGTCCTTGCGGAGGCCACGTGGAGTGGCCTCGGCCAGGCAGAGGGGGAGGACGCCAACTTACCCTCCTGTTTCTTCCTCCTTCTGCAACAGAATGAGGCTGGAAGCAGGGGGCGGCCGGAAGAAGGGGTGGGGCTTCGTCGTGTGCCCCGCCCCCTGCACCTCATCCGGGGGAACTGCGATCCCCCGTGATCCCCCCCGAATCGACCTTTGGTTCTCACAGATACCTGTCATTTGGCAGAGCCTCGGGAAGATTTGTTGATCCAAGGCCAACTATCTGCTCTGTAGATCTGCATCTATCTGGATACCTAATCTGCATTAGAAGGACTAGTCCTCTCCTGTCTGGTGCTCAGCCGAGCTGAGCTGAGCACCTTCTACCCTCTTTCCCCGAAAATAAGACAGTGTCTTATATTAATTTTTGCTCCCAAAGATGCGCTAGGTCTTATTTTCAGGGGATATCTTATTTTTCCATGAAGAAGAATATGGGACACTCTGTCAGGACAGAGTGAGCAGCAGGCGGCAGCTTATCCTGGCGGCGGCGTGGGCTCTCTGATTAAAAGAGACCTCGCACTTCCTGTCTGCTCCGGCTGCACAGCAGCCAACCTTGAGCTGCGTGGCGGCGCCCACCGCTACGCCCCAGAGTCCAGAGTTACGGTAGCTTTGGGGGGCCTTATTATCGGGGAGGTCTTATTTTCCAGGAAACACGGTAGGTGTGATCAACGCGCAGCCACAAGAGACTCAGATCATCTTTCTTTCACTCCACATGGATTCAGTAGATCATTACTCACAGATCCAAGCTGATGACTGGGTGGAAGGTTACATCTTTATGATCCAGGCCAATTCTATGGCTATGTTGAGAAAGGAAAGGGGACCCCCATCTCCTTGCCGTAGAGATTACCAAAACAAAACGTGGAGGGGAGCAATAAACATGCTTTTTGTGGGCTCATTATGCAACCGGGAAGACTCCTAGGCTAACCAGTAAAGGGGCTATGTCAGAGCATCTGACCTAAAACTACATTTCTCATTAGACATATGTTAAAAACAACATGTTAAAGGTACAGAAACTTTTCTACATTAGTACAGGCTGCTAGCTATCCTGCTGGGCAGCACAAGCCCAGTAAATGGAACAATTAACCTTTTACTAACAGAAGGATCCATTCATGTAGCCTTAAAAGAGACTGCATTTAAGAACATAAGCCAATGCTAGATCAGGCCAATGGCCCATCTAGTCCAACACTCTGTCTCACAGTGGCCAAAAATACCAGGTGCCATCAGGAGGTCCAGCAGTGGGGCCAGGACACTAGAAGCCCTCCCACTGTTGCCCTCCACCCCAAGCACCAAGAATACAGAGCATCACTTGCCCCAGACCGAGAGTTCCTATCTGTACCTTGTGGCTAATACCCACTGATGGACTTCTGCTCCATATGCTTATCTAATTCTCTCTTGAAGCTGTCCATGCTTGTAGCTGCCACCACCTCCTGTGGCAGTGAATTCAATGTGTTAATCACTCTTTGGGTGAAGAAGTACTTCCTTTTATCTGTTCTAACCCGACATGATGGACTTCTGCTCCATATGCTTATCTAATTCTCTCTTGAAGCTGTCCATGCTTGTAGCTGCCACCACCTCCTGTGGCAGTGAATTCAATGTGTTAATCACTCTTTGGGTGAAGAAGTACTTCCTTTTATCTGTTCTAACCCGACTATCACCCCAAATTGTAACTTGCCTGTTGGCATATTGTATTATATGTATGCAAGATGACAGCCAATGATGCACACATGTCAGATTAAACTGATCTGGGTGACAGGTAAGACTGTCATGTGACAGGGTCACCAGATGCAAGTTGCACTAGGTTGCATCAGCTAATTAACTATGTCACCATGAGTTGGCAAAATGACTCTGATTGGTGCAAGTACTGTATATATGTAATGTAGTCCAGAGGCAAGTGTTCCACACCAGTGGAAGAGTGTATTGCGAAGCACCTTGTCGGTCAGTTCTATGAACCTGGGATACCGCATGGTGGAATGGACTGTGTAAATAACTGTAAATAAAAGCCACTGTATATAGCTCAGATACAGCATCCTGATATTATTATTATTCAGACGTTCTG